TCCCCTCCCCCCCCGGCCGCGCTTTCCTGCCTCTGCCTTGCCGCAGCGGCAGCTCTCGTTGGGGTCAGTGGGCTGAAGACTTGGGTTTGGTGGCGTTTTTGGTAGGGCAGGTTTTATTTATTCTTTTTTTTCTTTTTTTGTTAATCTTACTGAACCCTCTTGCTGCACTAGTCCTGGTGTCAGGGCACGGAGGAGAGCGGGGATGAGGATGGAGCCGTAACAGGCCAGACTTGGTCTGGACGAAGCTGCGGGGACCGCAGACCTTGCATTTCCCACGGGCACGCTCGTACAGCCTTGCTCTCTCCAGCCTCGAAAGGCCACTGGTCGCCCCTTCCTTTCTTCCTGCTCCCTGACCTGCAGCCACTGTCAAACAGAAGCCACATGGGCTCTGAGCTGCTGAACTGAAGCTCCGGGCTGTGGAGTGCTGGGCTGCGAGGGGAGCAAGTGTAAGATCTGGACAGCAGCAGACTTTGATCTGTGCCGTTGCTGAACTGAATCGTGGGGTAAATGAATGAGATAAAGAGAAGCTGCTTCTGTGAGAGGGGAAATCAAGCTTTTACAATGCTCATTAAAAGTTAAATGTAAGGATGAATAAAGGCACTTTGGATATTTAATCAGATATTATTTCTGGATAGAACTACTGCAAATAAATCCCTGACCTTTCCTGATCCACTGCTCAGCAACGAGTGGAAGAACTTATTCGTCTGCTTGGGAGGATTGTGCTTGGTCACTTCTGTCTGGAAGGACTGCTTGGTTTCTTAGCTCTGCTATCGCCGAGCACCGCGGGACGGTGCAGTCCGAGCCTCTTGCTCTGCGGTGGAGCGGTGGGCTCGCGTTTGTGGGTGTCTTCTGCTCACGTACAAATATGCAAGGGACTGGGGGAAAACTGCTGCATTACAGAATGGGTTGGTGCTTAAAGTGCATGGCAGAGAGGCTGGAACGGTGATCCGTGTCGGCTGGACACCGCCGTGCAGGGGTACCGAAAGGTCAGGGCTAAGGTCAGTGCCAAGCCAAGGCTCATAAGGCCGGCTGGACTGGGTTTCCCTGTGTGAAAGGGTTCCTACGTGGTGGTTTCCTGCTTCTCAGGTACCCTTGTGCTTGTGTTGATCAGTGATGTGGGCTATGGTGGGCTGTGCCCCACTGGCACGCTGATTTTATGCTGCATCCGTGGTTGGGAGCGGTGCGGGAGAGCCCTCCGGGTGCCCAGCAAAGAGCCCTGGAGCTTCTGGGTATTCGCCCATCCTACAGCACAGACATCCTGCGACTTGTGTGCTTCGGTTGGCTCAGCACTTCAGTGTGCTTGCCCAGAAAAATACAGTAGAGCTGTTTTACTGTTTCACTGTCTCAGGTTCTTGTGCCATTTGTCACACGAGGAACAGCACCGGCAGAGAGCTCAGACTAAGTGATTAGTGAGGGACTGCGCCGTGCAAGCCGTAGGCAGCCAGTGAGCTGGCAGCTTGTCGTGGAGCAGCGGTGAATCTGTGTTTAAGTAGATGAAGTGAACGGGGGGAAGGCAAAGGAGTAAAATTGCATGTGCCTTGCTGTGCGGACACGGCCAGCCCCTGGGCCCCGAGCCCTTCCTGCTGCGCTCTCGATAAAATGCAGTTTTGTGTCCCTTACAACACGGCGTTCCCTCAAGTCTGTGCAGACATAAAGTCACCTGCTTTTAAGCTAACGCTGTGCCTTTCCTGCCTTCCGGGGTTCAACACCTTAAACCACTTGGCCGTGCTGTCCGTCCCTGTCAGGGGTGACTGGGAAAACCCCGCACCTTCTGCGTGGCAGCCTGGGAGCGGGTCGTGGCTCTACCCCAGCCCTGGAGCCCGGGGTGACTTTGCACACCCTTCTCTGCGGGGCTTCTGCCACCTGAAAGGTTTCCCAAACCTTTATACAGGGAGGAAGTAATTTTCCTTAACAAATAGCTGTCTGCGGGCAGTGTTTCCCGTGCAGTGGTGGAAAGGCTGACTCAGGGATGAATTCTTCCAGCAGGTATTTGGATCCACATATTAGTAATGCCTTGAAATTAAATGTGAAAAGCTGCAACAGCACGAGTTAATTGAGTTTTACATTCCATTAACTCGAATGTTTTAGATCTTACTCTCAGGCAGAGCCAGCTGCCTTCAGGACATCCTCATTTGCACCAAGTAATTTTTATTTGTGCTAATAGAAGCAGGGGCTGTTCTTGAACTGTGCATGTCTGCGTAGGGTGAGGGTAAATGGGATGTAATGTAGAGTGTTGACAAGCCGATATTGTTTGCCTGGGCTTTGCATCGCTGCGGGGGCAGGAGGGTCTGCCTGAAGTGTGGGGCAGGCAGGCTGCAAGCCCTGGGGGGGGCTGGGGTTGGCGCTGGCTGCCTCCCCAGGGACAGGTCCCCTCCCGCTGGGCACAGGAGGTGCTTCGGACAGGGATTTGATCCAAAATTAATTCCTATCTCCCAGTCCCTATGACTCTTCCTCTGCCACATGCTGTCAGCTCTCTCCTCTTCATGTTATGTTTTTACCTCCACGCTTTCACCTTTTTTCTAATTTCTTTACTCTGTTTTCCTTCACAGTTGCTGCTCACAGTTATCTCCCGCTTCTCTTTTCCACTTGCTTCTTTCCCAGTTCTCCTTTCACTGTCACTTTTCAATGCTCTAACCTGTCATATGGCTTGTCATTGAAAAAACCTGCTTCTGCACAAAACCACCTCAGAAGCCCCAAAAAGTAACCCAAGGCACCGAAAGCCCCTGCCTCACTGCCCCTGGCAAAGCCTGGGAGGTCAGTCCTGTACCCAGATACACAGGTGGTCCCCAGTGTGGGGTGATGGAGATGGCCTCGAGATGAAGGCATCTCTCCAACACATAGATGGCTTTGTTAGCTGGGTGGAGAGCTGAAAGGATTTATAGGAATTACCTGGGACTCGTCAAGCAAGCTGCCTCGTTTTCAAGGATTTGTTGTGTCATATATGATTCCCTTCTCTTCCAAGAAACCTGCTGTCAAAGACAAAGGTCTCTTCAGGTTATCTCACCTTCATCCTAAATTAATATTTTGACCAACTGCAGACGTAAATGCCTGACAGAGCCCGGGGCTCTGCTGCTCGGCAGGCGTGGGAGGCGCCGGTTTGGAGGGATGCAGAGGCTGAAATGATGGATTAGCGTTCTGCACTTGCCTGGGTTACACCTGGCACAAGCTCCGGTACTTGTGCCTTTCTGCCCTGAACACGAACTTACCTCCTTCTCCTTCCTCCCTGCCTCGTTCTAGCCTTGGTACTGTGGGGCTGTGCGTGTCGGCCATGACCGCAGGATGAGCGTTGTGCTCAGCGTGGGGCCATCCCTCTGCTCGGTGTTTATCGCTTCTCTCTTCCCTTTCAGCTGCCCAGCTGGATAATATCGGCTTCAGCATTATCAAGAAATGCATACACGCTGTCGAAACGAGAGGTAAAGCCATTCACCAGATGGTCTTGGTTTGGGGGGCGACCTCGCAGCTGTGGGTAGCGGAGCAATTGCTTACCTGCCCTTTTCATGAGCAAAAAGGATTCATTAACCCTCGGAGACCCCACGTCAGACAAACCCTGAACTGTGCTCAGGCAGGCACCTCTGCTGAGACACGCGTTTGCCCTGCGGCCGGGGTCAGCAGGGGCCGAGCCAATACCAGAGGCAGCGTTGGGGAATGATGCACTGGACGTGCGAAGGGAGGGATGGGACCGAAGCTGGGGGCTTCGTCGGAGTGGTACCGCTGCAAAGCGCTTCCTCTCGGGTGGGCCAGCAGCTGGATGGGCATTGCAGTCCTTCCCTAAACCTCCTGCGAAGACTGTGTATGGACAGACGGGCTGTCTTGTTGGCATCTGAGCCCCTCGCAGTGGAACAGGGGTCTCGTGTGCGCACTGGTTCCGACAGCGCTGGTGCCTGCACTTGGGTAAGAAAGGCCTCGCAGGATGCTGTCAGCTCAGGAGGGCTCGGAGCTGGCAGTATTTCTGCCCGGGTTCCTTCACTGGGGTCTTCTTCCTGCCCATCGGCAACGTAATACGCCGTGGGCTGTTCAGCCATGGCGTTCTCTCCTGCCATGCTTGCAGCGGTACAGAAACTGCTGCTGAGAGCAAAGGAACCCCTGGGGCAAATTAAAAAGAAAAAACAAAACTCAAAAAAACAGATAGGTAGATGAGACCAAACAAGGCAAGTGCAGTTCTTGGGGCAAGTTCAGAGAGCTCCAGCTGGGGAGGGGCAGCACACCCAACCTGGGGTGCTTTGGTGGGAAGGGGCTTCCATCAGCACATCCTCTGGCTGCTGTCTGCCCTAGCAAGTCCTTTGGCTCAAGGCCCCGTTGTTCCTTGGACGAAGAACATGCGGAAGGCTCAGACCTCAGCCTGAAGAACTTGGCGCAGTAAAAGTTTCCAAAACTCCCCTTGTGTTGTATGTTAAGTGCAGAACCTTCGTGGTGCAGCCATAACTCCCATGCTGACTGTGGAGTGGTGGAAAGATGGCCTTAGATCTTTTATTCCTGAGCTAATTGGGGGTAATACTTTTAATCAATATGTGAAAGCCTTAACATCAAAACCAAATTTTACCCTTTTCTATAATTTCATACATAGTTGGTGAGAGTGTTTGATTATTTTTGCTGTTAGAGAAGCCAAAGAAATGAAAGAAATGTTAGTAGGTGTTGTGACATTCTCCTAATAAGCTCTTTATTTTTCCTAGGGATCAATGAGCAAGGGCTCTACCGGATCGTTGGAGTAAACTCTAGAGTTCAAAAGCTTTTGAGTATATTAATGGGTAAGTATCTCATATTTTGTTAAAGGCAAGTAGATTGTGCTGCTTTGAAGTCTTGCCAGCCAAGAACGGAGGCTCTTGTCGGGGTACCTAATCGTGGTGAATGTGCTCTTAGGACCACATGCTGTTAGAGGCCGGGAGGTCCCGGGGCACCACTGGCAGGTTGCTAAGGTAGGACTAATGTAGGACATTGCTTTAAAAGGTCTTCTGGTGCAGTCACTGGTGTCCTGCTCACATGCACTACGAATTTTGGCAGCCTTCCCAAATGCAAGCTAAAATCTTCAAAGAAATAGCTGAAAGCTTTGGGTTTTAATCTCGTATCTGCCACGTTGTTCCCAGAATACTTTTTAATTATTTTCTCTTGTGTGTTGCATGCTGCCTGTGGCTCTTCTTACCTTCCCCTTGGAACCTACTTGTGCCTGTTTTAACACGGTCCTGCCCAGACCTCTCAAGCATGCGTTTCCCTCCTGGCTGAGGCATCGGGTCCCGTGGTTCTGTGTGCTCAGGAGGAGAGAAGGTGTCTGGTCACACCATGGCTGAGCTTGGTGTTGACAACGTGGGGCTCCTCTGAGCACTGGCCCTGACGTGCAGCCACCCCGTGTCTGCCCAGCAGCCCTCAGAAACCTCTCCCCACCTCTGAAATGATATGGTGGCAAGAGAGAGGCTGTGGCGTTGGCTACAAGTGCCTTTGAACCTGCATTCCCGTGGGCCTCATCTGAGCACCGGCGTGTGTAGGAGCAAGCAGGTCTTGTGGTTGTCAGCGAGCTGGTGGTTGTTCCTGGTGCAGGTCTGGGACCGCTTCAGTTGACTTTTCCTGGAGCGGTTCCTTGTCGGTGGGTTGGGTTTCCGCCACCCCATAGCTGTGCAAAGCCCTGTGTTGGGTCACGCTTGTTGGTCTGCACTAGAGGATCTGCAGCCTGACTCCCAGCTCAGCTTCGTGTTGACTGTAGCCCAGGGGTTATTCTTGACCCACAAGGAAATGCAAGCCATTCCTCTCTTTGGTCTTCTTGCTACCTTCCCAGGCCTTGGTCCCTCCAGCAGAACCTCCTGCGCTCTCTATGCCCTTGTCTGTGGTCCCAGCTGGTGCTGAGGTTGGCTATGGCTGTGTGTGACCAAACCATTTCATCCCCTGAGCTCGCAGGTGGCATTTCCATGCCCAGCAGCAGCCCTGTGGCAGTCTGTCTGTCCAGACATGCACGAGACACACGTTTGAAGAACTGTTTTGAGAAAACACGCGTGGGTTGGAGCGGCGGCAGCTGCCCTCCACCAGTCCCTTCTAGTGCTTCTCAGACTTGGCAAAACCATGTATGAAATAGGCGTAGCAACGAGGAAACAAGTGATTAATAATTTGTTAGTGCCCTTCTGAACGTGTTTGTTACTCCTTGGGGGAAATGAGTGACATTTGTGGTCTTCTTCCTCTTTTCATTCACTTATTATCATTCCTTTGCAACGTGACTTCCTTTTCCTTGCCTTCACAAAATGCCAGTGCTCCGTTCTCTGTGTGTTTCTCCTTGCAAAATGTTTTAATCCCTTGTGTTTCACTTTCAACGTCTTTCCTTCTCCTCTTCCAATTCCACCTTCTTTTCGCACCGTAAAGACGTTCACTGAGCAAAGCCCAGGGTGGCTGTTACAGTTGTCAGCGCTAACCTATGCAAAATTGATAATCTAGGGCTAATTAGGAAACAGAAGGGTAAGGCTCTAAATCAGGCTGACGCAAGGGGACCTCTCTGCACCAGTTTTGCTCTGGCATTTGGAAAGTTCGCTGCAGTCACAAGAGCTGGTGACTGACTCTCTCTCTTTTATTAGTGGAAGTTTGGCGTGGGTTCGGGGGCATGTGAGTGTGTCCTTCCAGCCACCCAAGCACAGCAGATAAGCCAGAGCAGTCTCATGGCACACACATTTGGCACTGCTGCATTGGAGCGTCGGTTAAAGCGCGTTGCTGCCCACTGATAAAAATAGGCTGGGGGTTGGGTGCCCCACGGCGCAGCCGGGCTGACGTCCCAGGTCCTCAACTCGGGCTTCTCACCCCGGCGCATATCATCCCGCCAGCAGAGCGACGGAGCCTGGGTTTTTTTCTCGCGAGGGCGGTCTCAGGCTGTGTCAGGTCTGGGTCGAGGTGGCGGGGCTGTGACAGATGGCAGAACTCGCTTGGTTTAGGAGCTCTCCGGAGCTGGGAGGGATTCAGAGTTTTGGACACCGTCCAGCATCCGTTATCTCCTCAGCGACTGAAGCTACTCAGCTGTCGACCTCGTGTCTCATAACGCAGTGATATATTGTCGGTGGTTTTTCTTTGTCCCGGCACATCTTCGTTAGTTGTCGGTGCTGGAAGCCCCATCGGAGGTGAGGGCGTGCTGGGGGCTGCTGGAAGCGGGACCCGCTTTGGGGATCTCCGGTGCTGTTGGTCGCCGGGGACACTTTGCAAACGCCTGGCTCCGTACCTTTCTCTGAATCGCAAACGATTGAATCCACTTTGACCATCCCAGCGTTCGGGCTGTCTGTGAGGTTGATGTCAAACGGAAACGTGTCCCTTGTCACATCCCCTTCTGCTCTCGGCTGCCCTCGAGGCTCTGACGTCCTGCCAGCAGCGGCACCGCTCCACTCGAGCCCTCGCGAGCGGAGGAGCCCAATTGTGCTTACCACTTCAGGTTTCCCTTATATTTAGAAATGAATGTGGGCAGCGTTCCTGATTCACATACGGTTTAAATGTCAAAAAGATCAAGTTTCCCGGAGCGGTGGCTGGTGTCAGTGGTGCTGCTGGGAAGGCCTTTGGCACGAGGTGTCTCTGCGGGAGCTCGGCGCTGCGCTTGGCCGGCGGCGGAGCAGAGCCTGCCCGTGGGCAGCAGTCGGGTCAGGGGCAGCGCGGGTCTTGGGCTTGGGCAGAAGAGCTTGTCCTTGTCTAAACCAGGGTGAAGCGGGGAGGGGGTGCGCCCCCCCCAGGGCCCGTGGGAGGCAGGTCATCCACGGCAGAGCCAGCGGCCTTTCCTTAGCCTTCGCCGTCACCACGCACCGCCAAAATGAGGACAAAACCCAACAAATGAACAGCTGTTACCGGTCGGAGCTGCCACGGAAGGGTGTGTGCGCACAGGACAGGGGTGATACCAGCAGATCTGCCACTAAAACTCGGCACTAAGATGAGGGGAGTGTTACAGCGTCTGAGCTGCTGCTCTTGCTCCTTCCCAACGGGAGCCATAAGGGCTGGTGAGTGGGGCTTCCCCTGGCCCCTCGCTGCTGGGGTGTAGTGTGCCCTAAGCTGTTTTGGAAACCTCTCAAGCCACCCAGGCACGGGTGAGAATCCGGGCTGGGTGATGAGGTGGTGCCCCAGGTGGTTCCCCTCGCTGTGGAGAAACTGGTGAGGAGCTGAAACCAGCTGTCTCATGGCAGCAGCTTTCTCCCTCCGCGGGGAGCAGGTGGAGAAGTTCCTTAGGAAGAGCTTTGGGCAGTGGCTGGGAAGGATGGGCTGTGCGGCCGCCGGGGGCAGCTGCCTCGGGGAGCATCCCCAGCATTGCACACGAGTGTCTTTGCTGCGGTTCTGTCATGGCTGCGGGTTTGGGGGTGTCTGATCAGCCTGGGCTTCCCTCCCTCCCGCCCGCCGTGCTGCTGGGCTATGGCCAGCCCCGTTCCTTGCCCTGTCACCCGGGATCTGCAGGGATGAATACACAGAGATGAACGGGACCCCTGTCCCCTCCACTGCTGCTGCTGCTGTTGGCCTTCAGGAAGAAAACAAACCGGAAAAACTAATTTTTTTTAGGAATGGGAATGGATTCCTCCCACGCCTGGATTTCGATGTAGATCCTGCCGTAAAAAATGCACGTTCTAATTTCTTCTTGATTTAGATCTGGAGTGCTGCAGCTCCCTTTTCTTTCCTCAGATATCCCCCGTGAGAGGCTGTGATAACCCCCTTCGGTCTTGCAGCCTGGGGAGAGCCAGGAAACGCTGTCCTGTGTGGTGTTTGTGACCACGCAGGACAAGTGAGCAGGAGCAGGGATGATGCTGCAGCGGCTGGCAGTGTCACGGGGGGAGCAAAGGGCTTTCTTCGGTCTCTGCTGGAATATAAAGCTTGGCGAGGTTCATTTCCCACTGCCTTTCCCCTTACCCTTTCACTTCAGGCTCTTCCATATCTGCGAAGAGACAGATTAGTCATTTACAGCAATAAGCAGCTTCAGGGTTAATACTGAATTTGGCCCGTGGGTGCTTTTACGGGCCCTGTTTCACATTTACACCAGTTTATGTGGAAATGTGTCCTTGTGTGGAGACAGAAGTTTGCCGTGGTGCCGGCTGCAAACATCTCTAGCTGGGGAGACAGATGCTGCGTCTGTAACCCACAAAGCAGACTTCTTGCAGACTTATACATTTGAAGGTCAAGGGGAACTGATTATCTGCTCCGAGCCTTTTCATGAGACCGACCGTAGGCTTTCACGTAGTGTTTCATGAATCATGCCTGCAAACTGCTAAATGAGCTTTTGGAAAGACATCCAGTCTTGAGTTGTTTGTTCAGCTTCAGTGAAGGCCTTGCTATTGGACAGGGGTTTTTTTAAAAAGGGTTTTTTTGGGGTTTTTTTCATTTGTTTTTTTTTTTTTTACTGTGCCAAGCTTATCTTTAGTCTATTAAAATTTCCTCCTTAAAAAAGTAGTGCAATAGGAAGTTGCCTTGGCATTGAGGAAGAAGGATGGTGTTCATTTGTGTGATTGCTGTGAGACACGTGATCTTTGTGTGAATATACATTTCTTAAATGTTTACTTTTTCAAGTGCTCCTCTTGATGTTTTTTTTAAATTAAAATAAACCCTTTGCCCTAAGGGAAAGCCTAACTCTTATTCAGTGCATTCTTTTAATTAGTTTTAAAATTACACCATGCTTACCTATTGCTTTAAAATTCAAAAGCGCATGATACGTGTCTGTGAAAAGGCAGAAACCCACCGAGCTGAATCCGTGGGACCAGATGGCGTCGGCAGCTGTATCTGGCGTCAGGCTTGGCCTTGGTGGCGCTGAGCGCCTCTCTACGCC